GACTCGGAACAACAATCTGTGGATCACACAAAGAGTTGTTCTGAGGGAATCGAACCCGCGACACGTTGCACGGCAGCTATCGCACCAACCGTGCAGTCTAATAAGTCCAGTTTTCCTCTCCGTTTGTCAGTGATGTCTAAATAATCTTAGAAAGTACATATTAGTCAGAAAAAGTCTCATTCGTACTTGTCTTTGGTGGGTTTTGAGCCCGCGCTCTCATGCATGAAAAGCGGGTGTTTTAACCTCCGGGCCACCACCACATAAATTCTATAATACACTTTTAAATAACATAAAATAACATTACGGCTTTTATCCCTGAAGTGGTAGCCAGAGGTGCACATTACGGCACTTAATACCAATGTACAATGTAACACCCACTTTTCACTATTTATGTTATGAGTCCTATGTAATAGGGGGTGAGCTTATTGCCATAGATTTAAATATGAACACTTAACAATGTTTTTAGTTATAACAAATGAAAGGTTCATAAAGCTTTTGTGGTTTAGAGAAATCATTGTCTGGATTGTGTTATTGTCTAGTATAATAATATCTTTGTATAGTATAATAATATTATAACGTTATACCCCTTATTCTCTCTTATACAATGTAACACCCACTGCCAATAGTTATACACGAGTAAATCGAATTATAACAATAGACAAGTCTGTTACATTTTCAGGCTTTGGCTAATAAACAGTTTTAGGGTCAAATAAACATTTTTTTAAACTTTGCCCCACATTAGGATTTTCTCCTGTGTCGTGTGTGCGTTTACAAACATACAAGTTCACATACACACGACACCCAGACTCGGAACAACAATCTGTGGATGACACTAAAAGTTGTTCCGTGCGGGAATCGAACCCGCGACACGTTGCACGGAAGCTAATTACCCAACCCAGTGCAGTCAATGAGAGCTAGTTGTCGTACACCAGGCATGCTCTTAGAACCCGTAATATTTAAATTTTCAAAAATATTAAATCAAATCATATTTATTTGCTCAAACACATGTGCACATACAATAAACAATAGCATGTATGATGGCGGGTAGCAGTGAAAAAAGTTCGATACATGCGTGCAAATATAGTAGTCACTCTTATATCTATCGATAATTCTTTGGCAGAGCCGGAAACTGAACTCATGACCTCTTACTTCAAGTCTACCTACACCTACACAATCAATATTTTATTATGAAAACCTTGCCTAAAACCGAAATATAACGCCCTATTATTCCCCAAAAGCGTAGGCAGAAATTGTATTTACAGTTACAGGACGCCCACACATCGACATTTAAGGTATTAGTTTTAATTTTAACAAGTGGGCAACACTCTATATACGTCATATTTAATCTGTAGTCAAATGACAGATATTCTGGTCATAGTATATTTGAATCGTCAATTTAATAATTCAGAGAAAGTTTTTATAAAAATACAATCACATATAATAAGAAGTATTACATACAACTAATTCAGTACATTACCCTGTTAGGGCGCAGCAATTTAAAACGTTACAAAATTTAATGTTACCTGAAATTTATAACTATTTCTTAGACCTATAACTATACCTACCTATATATTAACTATTCTATAGTTTTTTTTTTAAATCTTTATTTAAGGGATTTAATCACACAGTGATAATGTCACTCCATGACTTTAATCATCCTTTTCATTTAGTAGATTATAGCCCCTGACCTTTAACTGGAGCTATTGGAACAATAGTTTTAGTTAGAGGAATAGTAGGAAATTAGGAATAGTAAAATGATTCCATAATTTTAATATAAATTTATTAATTTTAGGATATTTTATTGTAATTTTAACCATATACCAATGATGACGAGATATTTGCCGAGAAGGAACATACCAAGGTAAACATACAATTTTAGTAACTAAAGGACTTCGTTGAGGAATAATTTTATTTATTGTATCAGAAATTTTTTTCTGACCGTAGTGAATAAAATAAAGATTGAGAAGTTGTGGGCCGCCGTGTTCCGGGGGCCCTGTATAATTGAGACGGCGCTAGCTACGCCCCTGGTCCTTAGGCTATGATAATCTTGATGATACCTATCTGTAACCACATAAATTATGTAATACATAGAGGTATAACGGTAACAGAGTTGTCATGCGGGGTTTAAAAATATTTATCAGCGCTTTAGTAAAAGTTGTTTGTGTTTAATTGTGGCAATTAATTTTGAATTGAGGTGCTGGTGACCGGTGTTTTGGATAAGCTGTTACGTATTTTAAATCCATTTATCTATTGAGTATGACAATTTTAAATTGTTTAATTAATATTTGTGGTCAAAGACAATAAAAATATATAAGTGGTTCCCCTATCCTTTAAACTGTCTCCGGGAAAATCCGTCGCACAATACAATTTGGAAAACCCATAGCACAATAAAAAGGATTTGTTGAAAAAAATATTTGAAATTTTTTCATCGTTTTGTGATCGGGACCACAATCAAACGGACGTGTTTTAAATCGATAACTATCTAATTGATCATCAAAGTAAATTCCTTGACGTCACGCTCGGGAAACTGATTTTGGATTGATTTTGGAATCAGATTGACATTAGATATTCCGTGTTTTTTTTTTCGTTGAGTGACTCTTGTTTTTTTTTTGCAAGAAGGTGGAATTGTGTTATACAACCTATAATGAAATAAGTTTAGTACCTTATTACCTAATACGGACTTTAGATGTCCTCGCACTACTTTACCTAATTTAACATTCTATATTGCCACTCTGCTTATCTGTATTTTACTGATGATTTATAAGATGCTAAAAATTCATATGCATGGATCTATTATTGCTGATATTCAATTATATTAAGGCACTTAAATCTAAATTAAAAAAAATCTAAAGCTTATTTTAAAAACAGAATTTCTCTGCGACACGACGAAGTCCATTTTAGAATGTCTAGACAAAAAATGAATTAATGAATAATTTAATAAGAACAATAATTTATTTAGTTTATTGTTCCTATTAAATTATTGATTAAATCCAGCAAAACCAAGACCACACAACACCTACGGAAATAACATTTTTACCAAAACAACAACAGTTGTTAAAAACTGTTATTAAACAAAAACTAATTGTACAACGTTATTACCCGTTTCTCACAATACCTACCTAATAATTATTACATGGTCGGTATCTTGTGTAAGTTAGAACTGTTGGCAGCAGCGACTTATGAAACAGACAGACACACAGACGTAGTTGAATCACATTAATTTCCTCGCTGTGTGCTGCGATGCATCTCTCCCTCGGTTTTCATTAATAACTCCACATTGTAGTATCTTCTATTTAGATTTTGTGCTTGTTAGACCCTGTATGAATAATTTGTCAAACAATTTTATATTTTATCTGTGCATTTCAAGTTTAAGCTTTGTTGGAAACTGGTCAATAACGGTTTGTCGAGTTCTCTATATTTGTAAGAAAATTCTTCATAATCGTTCAGCTTTTATATGTTGCTAAAATAACACAATCGCGTTGCATATTTCTTTTAAGTACCTACAGTTTCAATTTCAATTGTAAATGTGAAAAACAGTTATTTGTCTGGAGACTGACATAGACTACTTACTTTGTTTTCCTTAGCCTATACGAGTGAAGCCAGGGGTACAAAGTAGTTATAGGTAATTCATATACATGTATCTGACATCATTTACCCACGCATATTAGTATAAAGCTAGTCTTTTTGCGGCTTTGCCCACGGTGAAAAGAAGATGAATAGGAATAAAAATAAAGCGTAAAGAGGTAATAAACAGACAAACTTACTTTCGCATTTGTAATATTAGTAGGGATTATAATCAGGAATGCGTATGATTGCTTTATTTATTGTATCTTTATAATATTTTACCAAAGAACAATGCTTGTTTGTAATGCATGGCCTTGCTAGTCCAGCGATTGTAAACGAAGCTTTACTTTAATGGACCAGTTTATTGTTCATTCAGATTACTTTAGCAATCATCCTGCACATTACATATCTAAGTTGACATAAAATGTTCATTAACTTCCAGTAATTAAAATATATATTCTGCTATAAAACATAGAATTACGTGATTGTGTTTTTTGCAACGAACAAAAAAAACTGTTTCAAAATGGCTCCAGATCAATGTTGTAATAATAATAGACAAACTCAAATAGTTTTAGCTTTAATAGTAATCGTAGTTATATTAATAAACTCGTTAACCTTTTGGATAATGAGCCAAGTGAATCAAAATGTATGAATATGTGGCCGTCAGGTGAGTTCATTACATTTATGGCATTTTAACGGCTGAACAGTCACGATCACGATTGTTTGTGATTCATAGGGTTTACTAATTTAAGGTTTAAGATAATAATACCCCTTTAGAGTTAATCTCTAGCCTAGTTTTGCCTTTGCTCGTTTGCTTCGCTTATGCAATGTTTCCAAGTCAACAATCGTCCTTCACAGTTACTTAAGAAGAGCTCTCGCGAATAAAAACTTGTGTTTTCGAGAAAATGTCAGAATAAACGGGACGCACCAGTTTGTTGAAAACGGTTTTTTAGTTTTAATCATTGTGCTAGCTCTTGGCTATTTCTATTGAACATATCTAAAAGCTAGACTTTCGTGATTGAAGAGTTCATTGACCTTTCTAACCCTTCCTTACTATCAGTTCCCAACAGAATTCAGTTCCCATGTCGACCCAGCACTCTGCCAATTCTGAACCAAGACTGTATCCCGACAATAAATAGTTCGTAAGTTTAATGAAAACCGTAAACAATATCTCGAATGTGACTGATTATAGTGAAAGTAAACAAATGACGCAATCAGCGTTTAGAGCGCGAGTGAAAGTGTAGTCTGTGGCGCGCCGTGGCTGAGCGCGAACGTATCATCGCGTTTAAAAAATCAAAACGTCAAAGTCAAGAGTACGCGCCAAAATAATTGTCAAGATTTAGTTTTTATTTGTGAGTGGAGTGAGTTGTGTAGTAAGAAGGTTTCGGTGGTGAAGGCTGTGTTGTTATAGCTAAACCGCCCCTATCGCTCGGCCAATGGCGGGGAGGGTGCCGCCCCCGCGCGGCTCCATGCCGCATGTCTGCTTCGCGGTTACGCTCCTGATACTCGTCGCCGGTAAGTCGATTTTCTTGTTGTTGTGTTTGAGTTTCTTTTTTCAGCAAGCGAAGACGAACCACTTTTGAAAAAAGTTTAGGTAGTGTTAAAATTAAGCGAGGGTAACGATCCTGAAGGTGGTATCGCGTTACTTTAAATTTAATCTTAACGTTTTTTGTGAGTGCCCTTTTATTTAAAGTTTGAAATTTTCCTTAAGTTTCTTATCGACAAAGTTCAGAGCGTGGAAAGGTCTGGATAATTCTCGATCGGGTGGACACCCTACGAGAAATGTCAATAATTCATGCCGAAATGTAGAAAATTAGTTACATAATAGTGTTTTATTGTAGACTAGACGAAGGTGGGTAATATATTCAGCCTAGTGTTCTAGTTAGAACGAACTTGTTTGAGATTTCCATTGAGACGTTACACAATGATCATTCAATATTCTCATTTCATTGACATGAGATCTATCTTTCTACTTGTACGCTTCTTACATAACATCAATCTTTATAGGAATTTGGTCCTAACTGTCCATTTATGTCACCGCCGTAAACTTGCGATCATCCTATTGGAGGTATCGGATTTAACGTCCGTCTGTCCGTAATGTGATAATGTAATAATTATCGTATATTTTTTTTTTAATATGATACCACTGAAAGTCAAAATGTGGTTTTAAATAGTAAGTACCTATTTACCTCAATTTTTCTCTTTTTCGGTAAATTCAGACACATTTATAAAAATATCTACTTTTCCTGTGAATATGAAGTGCTACAGAAAATGTAATTAAATCCCCGTATATTTCCGATTATTGCAAGTAGGTATATTCTACATTATTTCAATTATGGTGCATGTATTTTTAAAAGTAAATCAAGCCTTTTGTATTTGGTAATAAGAATTGTACGCCTTTATGTTTCGATTACTTTTCATTGAATGTAGGGGAACGACCTCCGTGATAATATCTACAATTCTACATATTACTATGAATTGAAGAAATTAAAACTCATTCATGGTTCGCCTTATTCTAGACCTCGTGCTTGTCGACCGCACTCACAACCACTAAACTGTCGAACAGAAGCTTGAACGTACATACATAACACCCCGCCTTTATTCTCGAAGGGGTAGGCAGAGGAGAACACTACGGCACTTAATGCCATTGTACAATGTAACACCTATTTTTCACTATTTATGTTATGAGTCCCATGTAGTTGGGAGGTGAGCTTGAACGTAGTTTCCAGGTTATCTATAAAGAGCATTTAATAATTAAAATTAATTAAAACTAGATGAAAGACGGATCACGTCGACTTGTTATTATTAGGCACGGGGACACGTGTTACAGTTTTATTAATGAAGATATTAATTAGCTCGCAGGTGTTAGGTGACAGCCGGGGCCACGTCCAGAGCCGGATCTGTATTGATTTCATGGGCCGCAGCTCAATGTTCCGAAGACGAAGTGGGCCCCAGATCTTAAGCCAAGAAGCAATCTTTGTTAATTATGACACAAAAGTTGCATATAATCATGGAGAAAATACAAAGCAAAGCAAACATTTACTTTCTACTAGCTTTATGCTACTAATTGTGCAGAATATAAACCATAACAGAGTTGTTTAATGTGATGTGGATGCTTTACAAACGTAATTTTCAGATACATATCAGTTTCATAACAAATCTTGTATGTCGTGCTCTTAGTTGGGTGTAGGAGCAATATGTCTTCTTGCATTGTTTTCTTTATTCTTTATTAGACGTCACCTTGTCATGACATAACTTCACGCCTGTCTCCCATGGTGGTAGGCAGAGACTATTGAACGCCAATTACTACGATTCCTACATACCTCTTTCGCTTCATCAACAATCATCTATCTTATGCTCGTCGGTTATGGGTACTCTTAATTTAGTTCTTTCAAAATAATAACTTATTTTTAATTATGAAAGATTTCTGAGAAAATTGTATATATTTGGGCCGCTTTGTCGCACAGTCGCGGTCCGGCCCTGGCAACGTTAGCAATAATTTTATTGATCCAGATAGTGAACCGGTAATCCTTGCTCGCACGGACTTGACTTACATAACACGATCACATCGTTTATCGTTTATAAATACCTAGACTAGATCAGTGGGACATGATAATAAGTCGTTTGTCATGTGTGGACTAAATATCTAAGTTGGGTCTTTGGTCTGGTCGTAAAGTAAGTTGAGGTTGGATCGCTGATTCGAGCGAATAATAATAAAATGTATGATTTTTGTAATTAATGGAGTCTGTGATTGGTTGTGTATCCTAACGGGGTTGTGGAGGGCAAAAGGCAGTTGCTCCATATTAAATAAGTACTGATACTCAGTTAGATCTTAGACTCAATCCATCATTGTTGTAAGCCAGTTTCTACTGGCTTCTTTCTAGATATACCTAGTTATAGTCATTTCAAGTAATTTGGTTCCTGACCGAGTACAAAAATATACTTAAAGTTTATCTCTACATATCTACATACTCTTTCAGAGACGATCAAGCACCACGTTACTCCAATATAAAGACAGGGGAAAATCGATCCTTATCCATAAAAAACCTTAGTATTTAAACTTTTTAGATCGCTTTCACACAGGACCTTTGAAGCAGAAAGGTTACTTTTTGGAGGTTGGGACTTTGGGACCTCTGAAATTCAACTTTTTTTGTGGGATTGTTGTCCGTTTGAGTTTAGTAGAAAGGGAAGGTTTGCAAACATTGGATACGGACATATTGCGCGATGTGGGAGAACACTTGAGTGCTGAGGGACCTACTGTTGTGATCTGTGACTTGTTACGGGCATTCAATGTTTGGTGATGTTGAAGCTATGAACCGAGGGAAGTGGAAACTATCGTTTTTTTTCTTCTCCTCTTATAATATCTTCTGATTCACTTCGTTGCGGGAACCGACACAGTTACTCATGTCCCTGGGATGCTTCAGTGTTCCGGTGTTTTCATGGTTGTATCTACTGTAGATCCTAGCTTATAGGAGTTGCAGCGGTTTTGGGAGGCTGTGGCGGGCTTGTCCCAATAATAAAAAAACAAATGGTGATGTAGGTTATTTTTTTCGCTTGTTTGTTTGTTTGGTATCTGGTAACAGCAATATTTTTAACGTTAATATTGTACCCTACAGTTATGCATTTTCAATTATTGCTTTGATCACGCGATTGCATAAATTGAGTCTAAATTCAGTGCTGCTAAACTCTTTTGGACGGATAAGAAATATAGAAACTGTAAAACATATTTTTGTTAACAAAATTACTACTGCAATTAATAAATTATATAGAACTTTGTTATTTGTCAAAATCAAGCACCAAACAGTTAAATAACACACTCAAATCACGAAAAACAAATGAACAAATATACAAACACCACTTCTTTTTTAATTCTCTATTGACTAATTAACAAAAAAAGTAAATATGGCGTGCTGTCAAACCTCCGCGGTCGTGTTGACATGACTAGACTATGAAGATGATGATGATCAAGCATGATCCAGTCAGATCCGGTATACAAACGTGACATAGATTGAGTTTGCAGTGAAGGTCGTTCCATCATCACGTACCTACTGATGTACGATAAAAAACTTGATTTAACCCAACGATTAACTTAGGTATTAAAGCTTAGTTATAGGTACATACGTCAAAATATAAAACCAGTATAAACTGACCGTGGAATGTGGTCAAAGATCATTCAAAGCGGGTTCATGATAAGCTAGTTTTATGTAACTTGATATATGTTCATGTATTGAGTTTTATACACATAGGCGTTGATGTAACAAGTTTAGTTTTTAGAGGTTTTATCTTTTTGTCTTATTTTTAGACGATTGGCAAAACCCCGACTGTAGAGCTAATAGTCTTGAACTCGATTCCCGGGTCGGAGATAGTGGTGTTGATCTTTTTTGTAAGAGCACGGGAGGCTGGACATACCAGGTTTATAAGTTTCCTCCAAAAATATCTCAAGATTCCTACTGAAATGAGAAAACGAGATGCGACCGTGCAAACACCAGTACCTACGTAGTGTCATATTGATCATAATCACTACATAGTATAAAACAAAGTCGCTATCCTCCGTCTGTCTGTCCCTATGTATGCTTAGATCTTTAAAGCTACTCAGCGGATTTTAATGCAGTTTTTTTTTAATAGATAGAGTGATTCGTAAGGAAGGTTTATGTGTATAATACATGCATATTGCACCCGTGCAAAGCCGAGGCGGGTCGCTAGTTAAAGTAAGATGTCATTAAGTTAAGTAAAATATGTCTATACTTAGGTATAATGTAAAGTATATGTAAGTAGTATAAGTGTGGTGGTGGCTCGGAGGTTTAAGACGCCTGCTTCTCATGCATGAGGGTGCGGGTTCGAAACCTACCAACGGCAAGTACCAATGTGACTTTTTCCGAGTTATATGTACTTTCTAAGATTATTTAGACACCACTGACAAACGGTGAAGGAAAACATCGTGAGGAAACCTGGGCTTATAATTTCTAATTATAAGTTTGAAATCGCCAACTCGCATTGAGCAAGCGTGGTGATTAATGCTCTAACCTTCTCCGTGTGAGAAGAGGCTTTGCTCAGCAGTGGGCATTTATAGGCTGTTGATGATGATGATGATGAGGTATAATGAAATTAAAAAGTCTGTTGACAAGCAAAACGTGTAAAAAATCTCAGATTTCATTCGTAAACGTTTGATTTCTTGCAACGAGACAGTTTCTATTTGTTCATTGTGCATTGTTGTCTTGTTGTGTTCATGTGAACAGCAGAGAGGTTATAGTCTCATTGTTACAAGGATGGCCTGAGAACCATCAAGTATCAAGTATCAGGGACATGATTATATCGCCAGCAGCTAAGCCCGCCATTGTTGTCGACTCATACGGCGGCCATCTTGCTAATCTAGTACGCATTTGATTGGCTCGATGAACTGCTGTTAAGTAAGGAGAGGAGACCGACCTTGGAGTGTGCTTGGGTTTTTGATTTCAAATTATTCTCGGTGCTTTTCCATAGTTTTGCGGTTTAATATAGATTCAATTTATAGAGTG